GGCAGATGGCCGCCTGTCCTGAGCCTGGTTCTGCTGGAGGTTTCTTCCTGATTAATGGGGAGTTTTTCCTCTTCTTTTGCTCAGGATGGGAGACTGTGATGAAGTGATTCAGTGCAGTCTCCTGGCTTCTTCTTTTAATTGTTCTTTATGTACAGTGCCCTGAGACAACGTATGTTGTGACTTGGCGTTATATAAATAAACTGAATTGAATGTTTACAATAAGTTTTAAAATTTTTTAGCTAAAATGCTAAAAACAAACAGCTAGCAGTGAAAGCTTCACTGTTGGCTAAGAAACACGGACTGCTAATTATTTATTTAGTAAAACAAGTTAATGAAGCAGCCGGTAATTTATTAAAAACTATTTTGAAAATGTCACTCCATAATTTAATTTTACCCATAAAGATACAAATGATCAGAATATTTTTTTTATTTAGAATTTTTCATAGTTAGATTTTCAGAACACCAACTGCATTGGGGKGAGGGGAGCAGTTTTTCCAACAGTACCTGAACGCACCGCGTTCAGTGTTATTGATCGTATATAGAAAGATTTTAAGTTATGAACACATWAATCCAGGTTCCTCTTCACAAACATATTTACCTCGGACACAGCCCGCTGAAGAGGAAGTTTTTACACAGGTGCAGATYTCCGCACCACGACCCGAGACAGTCTTTAACTCTGCACAGCTTCAGGCCAGTCCTGGCCACCACTTTCTGCTGCCCKTTCCAAGAATACAAGACGAAATTATTTTTGTTGGCAATGACCTCATTCGCCGACGCGCCCGAGTACAGATTAAACATCAAAACATCCGCATCTACTGCTCCTTGATTGGCGCAGATAAACTTTAAAACCTCGGCGTCCATCGCCTTTAGGCCCTGTTTGTTTTTGGAAGCAGCTCGGTTTCGTTTCAGCTGACTAGAAATCGAAACTTAACTATTTTCAGCCTTCATGAGACTGTAATGCCGCTGTTGTCCACTTGAGGGCGACATTGTACTGCATAACTTCTTTCAGACAAATGTGAAAACTGTTTCCTCGGGTCTCAAAATAAAACTCCTGAAATAGCTGGGAATAGAAATGAAGGCAGCTGTGTTTTTGTTTTCATTCAACTCATTTACTGTTTGTTTCCACATAAACCTGCTTGTTTAGATCTGTGGATATTTTCTGCTACCGGCTCGGCTGCCTTGGGGTGTGTTTGGATTTCCTGTTGGCGAGCTTCAGTAATATTTCAGCCTATTTTGTAGTGGGTTCTGAATAATTTCTTACATGAGAAATGSAGGGGGAAAAAGTTTAACAACTGCTTCAGAGGCAGATGAGACTAAAGTGGGTTGTTGCCGTCTTAAACTACTCCTGTTTTCAAAGTTTTATGACTGCAAATAGGCCTACAATGCCCATCAGTTTCTCGGTACAGTTATTTTTATAGTTGTTTATAAATGCAGATAGCAATTTATTGGTATCTGGCCTGCTTTTAAGCGCGATCCAGTCCCTGTAGAACCAAATGGACCGGATCTCTTTGAGATCCTGCTTAAGGGATGGGGGGGGAGGAGCTCCATCATCCAGGGGGAGCTCAGAGTAGAACTGCTGCTCCTCCACATCAAAAGGAGTCCATTGAGGTGGTTCATCTGATMAGGAGGCCTCTTGGAGGCCTAATCTTTTGGAGGTGTTCCGGGCACGTCACACTGGTAGGAGGCCCCAGGCAGACCCAGGACTTACTGGGGGGATTATGTATCCTCTCTAGCCTGAGAATGCCTCGGGAGTCCCCCAGGACAAGCTGGAAAGTGTCACTGGGGAGAGGATTACCTGGGTTTGTCTCCTAAACCTGTTGCCTCCATGACCCATCTACAGATCAAGGTTATAATAGTTTTGGTAAATGGACTGTACTTGTATAGCACCTTTCTATCCATCCAGGACACTCAAAACGCTTCACACAACAGACATTCACCCACACACATACACACACACATTTACACACTGATGATGGCAAACTACAATTG